AAACCCTAAACCCTAAACCGATAGTGATTTCACGGCCCTTGCCCTTAGGATCCAGCAGGCCGCAGTTCACCACGGACTTTGGGGCTTCAGGGTCTACCGTACAGTAAGGGTTCATGTACTTAGGGTTTAGGGTTTAGGGTTTAGGGTTTAGGGTTTAGGGTTCATGTACTTACCTATAAATGTAACGGTCCTACATATGCATCTCAGTATGTATATATATATATATGTATTCTTATACATTGGCACTCCTTGTAACGCCAAAGCATATGCTCAGAAGCTGCAGGGACCCTCAGGGTAGGGTTGTTGGGATTTGGTGTGGTGCAAAAGACAAAAAGCGGCCCAAGGAGCATTGTAAGTTATGACATTGCACCTGTGCCGTCGTCGGCATTGGAGCAGGAGGCATAGAGAACGCTCCCACCTCCGCTCGTGTCTTGGAAGCTACGAAACGCCTTAAACATTGGAATTATTGGGTTTTGGGACAATGCTGCTCTGCCCTAAACCCTAAACCCTAAACCCTAAACCCTAAACCCTAAACCCTCTCTTTAGCGGCCCCCCCCGGCCGCCCTGAACCCCTAGTCCCCCAACCCTGAGCTGGTATCCCATAAACCATAGAAGCCTGACTCCACGGTTTAGGGTTTAGGGTTTAGGGTTTAGGGTTTAGGGTTTAGGGTTTAGGTTTCAGGGCTTAGGGTTTAGCCTGACACCTTCCTCAGCGCTAGACACCCAGACAGCCAGCCCACTACCCAGTAAGTGAAGAACTTGCACCAAATCATAGTAGCGATCCCTCTATATCCTAACGTATACTCTTTGATTGAGGGGTACTGGGCTCTCCAGAAATCCGCAAGACAAGCAAAGCGGCTGCGTCGCTTTTTGGCAGGTGCTGATGGCAGCGCTGAAGGTAACAACCTGGCAGTTCGGGCTTAGGATTTAAGGTAATGTCAACCCGTCGCGAAACCACCTACACTCGATCTCTAAGCCGCTTACATTATATGTATACAGTTGCAAACGCAGTATGAAACTTGTGTATCTACAGAGGTACATATGCACATACACACACACACACATATATATATATATATACACATATGTATACATACACATGTAGATACATTATGTATATGTGTATTCATGTGTATATGCATATACATATAAATAAATGCACATACACATACGTACGTGGGTACTTGTTGTGTTGTATCGAAATATACTGTCTTGAGCGTCTGTATGTGTACATGCGTATGTAGACACCCCGATGCAATCACTTGTGCGAGCATCAACAGGCATAAGTACAGAGGCAGAGCTCTGTTTGCGTGCGCACAAAAGAAAACCGTCTATGAAGAAATACACACATTGCAACATATGCATACTCATGGCCGACGATGACTTCTACAGTTGCGCTAAACATGCTGCATGTCCTTATTTACGTGATCGCATGAATGGATTTAGACATTGCAGCTGTGTGTGCAGATCTGTGTGTTCACAAGCACATTTATGAACAGACGGCTGCCTGACCCAAACCATTTTTGTTGTCCGTACAATAGCAACATCGATACATTTCGCTTGTTGATATGCCATAGCGAAACCGGCACCTGCATCTGCTGCAGCAGAGAAACAACGACATCAGGATCCCATTCACCCAAGGGGTTTGGTACGGTGATGCGGCGCTGGGGTTGGGATCCTCTCAAAGCATGTATGCCGGCTTGGCAAGATGCAACTGGAGATCTTGTCTGTGTGGGACAACACATCTACACAAATTAGTCTACTGGCAAGCAGTGTATGCAGCTGTCTGCCTCTCCATACAAGGACCTAGCACTGCACCATCACCAAGACAACTAGGACGACAGAGAAGAAGCAGCAACAACGAGTGTCTAGAATTCAAGAAAGAACAACGACCCCGAGCTGTCTAGTTTGCTGTCTAAGCGCCTATTTGGAAGACTTCCTAGAGAATACTAGAGAAACAAGAAAACCTGAATCAATGAATCTTCCTCGCAGTATAGTACAATCCTGACCCCGTCACTGAATTGGTATCTGACTCTGTGGGTGCACGGTCGAGGCACATTTGTGGGCACTGAAAGCAGCAGCATCTCTGCCAATGAGGCCAGGGACCGCTGCCATTCTGCACCCTTCTCCTTGTTTTAGGGTTTAGGGGTTTAGGATTTTGGCTTTAGGGTTTAGCGTTTAGGATTTATGCTTCAGGGCTTTAGAGTGAACCCTTCACCCTTAACACGTTTCCTTGTATGGACATGCTTTCATTTTGTCTTGGCTTGGGCTTCAAGAAACCACGAAACTCCAATCGACTTGGTTCCGTGTTCAGGGTTTGTTGCCTCAAGGTTCCTAAGCCTCTACAGGAAAGTAAGACATGCCAGTATGTCCGCATAATACATGTACCTAAGATCCTTGGGATATTCGTTCAACTTTACATTTTCATTGTAACTATCACTACATGTTCAGGCCCCTATATCATCCGCAACCCCAAGCCCTTGTCAGATTTTTCAAGACCCTCGAGCCCCCTAAACCCTAAACCCTTACACATCTGGGCTTCAAGGATACAGCGGAAGCCTCACCTTGGAACTGCAGAGCCTAACATCCGAAGGCCTTCAGATCAACATTCCCGTATACTGTAGGGCTCTTGATTTTTTTGGTATAGGCTGTACAGGGCCCTTCTTTAAGGGTAGGGTCCTGTAGGGTCGTCGTCGTCGGGACTTGTCGGCCTGTTAGACCGCCGAAACAAATTGGGATCAATCCCATCCTCAACAACAGACAGCACATGCCGGCAGGACCAGCAGAAAAAACAAGGCCAAAGGAAGCGGAGAGGGAGAGAAAGCACGAGACAAAGAGACAGAGAGAGACAAAGAAAGAGAAAGAGGGAAGGAGAGGGAGAGAGAAAGGAAGAGATTCCAAGTAACCCGGTCAGCAGTCAGGAGCTGAATGGAGTCTAACAGGCAAGAATTGAAGGGTCACTGTGAACACAAGGTGTGTAGCATTTGCAACTTTGACCGCAGAACGGATGGAAGGACACGAGTAGTAGTGAGGATAGTCACTCAAAGTATTGTCGTCGCTGCTGTTTGTGCGCATGCCTAAATGGCATCCCACACTTTCGGCCAAGCCAATAGTATAGGAAAGACAAGGACGAGGACCAAGAGAGAGGTCAAGCAAGGATAATCACTGAGAGTATTGCAATCGCTGATGCCTGCCTGACTACAGGAGTGAAAACCCCTGCATCCGACTGCACAGCCAACAAAGAAGATCCTAAATTAGATCAAAGAGGCATCACAAACTATACTCTCTCATCAACGCAATTTGTAGCCGCACGAAGGGCAGGAGTAGGAGCAAGGATGAGCACTCAAAGTATTGTAGTCGTGGGAGGGGAAAGGGGGAGGTAGGCAGTCGAATCGGGCCTCCGGGGGGTACGAAAAAAGCACAGCACTCATCCTCTCAGGGCCCTGACAGGGACACGAATTTTGAGAACCAGGCGGTTTCGTAAGTGTGGTCCTGCTTGAGTCGGCTTCGGGTTAGGGTTTAGGGTTTAGGGTTTAGGGTTTAGGGTTTAGGGTTTAGGGTTTAGGGTTTAGGGTTTAGGGTTTAGGGTTATTTAGGGTCAGGATGAAGACACCCTGCTGTACTCAAATTTGGAAAATGCGGCAATACTGCCCTTGGATAGTGAGGTCCAAAACACGACATGCATGACTCTACAGCATCCAAGCGTCGAAGGCGCTGACGAGCGCATTGTAAGAAACCGAGTCGGCATGCAGTTTCACCTTGCAGGACACCGGATCAATAAATCACTGCATGCCATTATGGCTCACCTGATTTATGATTGAAAGTCAACAAAGCTTGAACCCAAAGGCCCTGCATACCTCTGAGCCTAAGCAGTATGATGAAGCCCCCTCCTCAGCCACCTTCAGCCCTCCACTCGCAAACCCCTAGGCCCTACGTCCGTCGCGGCCGTGCGGATGTAATTACCCTAATAAGCATCAGGCGCAACCCAGGCTATGAAGCTCCCGCACCACTACCATTCCTATTAATATTATTCTCATCATCATATGGTTTAGGCTTTAGGGTTTAGGGTTTATAATGGTTATTATCATAGCAGCTCTAGTAATACCACATAAGACATCATCAGGGTCTTTAGGGGTTACCAGAAGCCTTGGTTCCCCAGTAGCGCCCAAATAACAAGGGTACCCTTTTTCCTAATATTCGGCTTT